TCATTCTAGAGCTGGTATTCCAGAAGCATTTACCACACTAGGGACAATCCAACGGCTCTGTTATCATTTGTACTCAGAAAAAGAAGAGGTAAAGACAAAAGTAATTCTAAAATTGAATCTTCTAAAACTGTAATTTGCCTCTCTCATTTCTGTGGGCTAATTTCTCCACAGGTTGAGTGTGATATACAATAGTTCATGTTACTAACTGAAAATGAAATTACTTCTCTACTACTATATCTGCCATCCACAATTCTGGTTCCCACAAAATGTGAAAATTTGTTTTAACTTTGATATTTAAGATTCAATCTACAAATTACTGCATTGATGATACAGATATTTATAATTAAAATATATATGAAAAGTCTCACAAACTTTTGTGATCTCACTGTCACTTCTATGATTATTTGGAATGAATGAAAGTGGAATTTATTGGACAGTTTTCCTTGTCTGCCAAGCAGGGTTAGCAATGAGGGTGTGTGAAGAAAGCCAGGCTGGCCAGTAGTGGTGTGCCTCTGAGTGCCCCCTACGCTTTTTGCCCCACGTGGAAGGAAGTGTTTCTCCAGTTTAGGGTAGGCTGGAATCACCCAGAGGAACCTGTTACACCATCCATGCTGGGCTCCATTCCAAGAGTTTCTGATCCAATACATCGGGTATAGGACCTAGAATGTGCATTTCTAACAAGTTCCTGGAAACTGGAGCTGTTGTTCCAGGGACCATATACTGAGGACCCCTGTTCAAGGTGTGGGAGATATATGGAGATGCACAGCAGTCAGATGCCAGTGTAAAAACCAAAGTGTCAAGCTTCTGGTACTGTGAATGGGCCACATTGCTTATGCCAACTAACAGATTTCCCTAACAACTGCCTACGAGTATACTTTAATCAATCATATGAATAACCTAATTAATTCAAGGTCACAGACAGAGAGTATTATTTCCTTCCAGAAAAGAAAGGACTTTTCCTGGAGCCCTATGGCCTGATGCTTGTTCTTGTTTGTTTTTGCTAGTGGAAAATTTAGTTGCTTTCCTCAGTGGTTTCCTATTATAATCACCTGAGCAGTTTGGAAAAACTGTGATGTCTAGGCCACACCCAAAATAATAAAATCATAGTTTTTAGGGGGTGAACCCTAGGCATGAGTAACTTTCATAGCTATCCAGGGGACTGCAATTCACAATCAAAACTGAGATCCACTGGCTTGGTTCAAACTCAATAGTTCTTATTCTGGCTGTACGTTAGTTATAATCTCCTGTGGCACTTTAAAAACAATATATATGACCAGATTCTGCCCCAAGAGTCTCATTCAGTTGGTGCACTTAAACAACAAGGAAAACTTCTGGTGATCCTAAAATGAGAGGACTGAGAATAACTAGTAGAAACTAATGACAGTTGACATTCTCTCTAAAAACATGACTGTGGTTGCCATAGGTTGACATACATATTTGTTATACATAGCTGCAGGAACTTCCCTATGAAAAACGTAATGAGAGCACTGGGTTACATATTTTAAGAATAAAGCTCAATGGTTAAGGAATTGTTTCTTCTTCATGTAGGTTCGCACAGCTTGCTCCTGTGCTCTTGGCTACTTAACTTACAATGCAAATGCTTTCCGCATCCTATTAATGGAATGCAGGAATAAGCCTAACCAGTTCCTTCGTATAACAAATAATATCAGCAGAGATGCAAGTATTAACCCAGCCTTTTTGAAGGAATTTCAAATACAACAAAAAGTGGGACTTCCTTCCTTAAGGTATTGTGCTTATATTTGAAGTTGCAGTAGTGAAATTATTGATAGAGGAAATTTTAATGAAGTTTAAGAAACATCAAACAAGGGGAACTATTCTTGACAGGAATATATGTGTTTTATACCAAAGGATAAACTTTATTTTAAATGTCCATTGCCAAAGCGTGTTTTAATTCCAACTTATGAACAGGAGTGTGAGTGCAAACAAGAATACAACCAGATCTTGGCGATCCTGTCTGACAAGGATTATTCACATTTCAGAAGTTTTGCGGAGCCTAGTTGCCTCCACGTCTGTGAGAGTTCTGAGCCAACCAGGACCACCACCACCATGACCTTGGCATCAAATGGGACTTTGGGACTTGAGGCAAAGCATGGTCAAATCAGAACTAGTGGTTGGAGTTATGCCAAAGTTTGCCAGACATTTATTCACATATTTCCTTCTGTAAATGTACCTGAATTTTAAGTCTTCTCTGCAAATAGTACTATTTACACATAGGAAACAGATCTACTCAAGATGTACTATTAACTTTATAATAATAGAATAGGATCCAATATCATGGTTCTAAAAATAAATTTTAAGTACAGAGAAAAATGAGTACATCTTCACAGTCACTTTAATTTGAATTCTTTGAAAAACTTAAAACCTAAAACTTGTTCCTTAATTTTTTAAAAAGATTTTATTAATATACTTTTAGAGAGGGGAAGGGAGGGAGGAAGAGAGGAGGGAGAAACATCAATGTGTGAGAGATACATTGATCAGCTGCCTCTTGCATGCCCCCAACTGGGGACCTGGCTTGCAACCCAGGCATGTGCCTGGACTGGGAGTAGAACTGGGGACCTTTTGGTTCACAAACTAGAGCTCAATCCACTAAGCCACACCAGCCATGGCTATTACCTCATTTTTTAAATAAAAAGCCAGGGAAATCTAAATTGCAATTGCTGTGATTGACAGCATCAAAAAGTAATTTTTGCTGGTTTAAAAAAATTAGTTTAGGATAAGTAATGGAAGTATTATTTGACAGTCACTCCCACAGCTAGCCCACAAGGCAACTTTTTGGGGAAGTAGAAAAAATATCCCTTCTCAGGACACTTTACTGCCATCTGCTGGAAAACTGTTGTAACTATACAAATCTGCAATGACGGAGGTGAATGCATTCCCTCTAGTTGCCAACACTCCACTTTCAGGATTATAAATAAGCAGTGACTAGCAATTAGTAAACTTACAAGAATGGTTACCTAGTGAGGTAGAAGTGGTGAGCAAATAACAATTACTCTCGTAACAAATAGTGCTACGCACTCTCCTTAGAGCACTTATATGGACAGTTCCCTATAATTTTTATAACACTCCTATAAAGGAGTTTGGTTTAAATGAAACTATGGGAAACGCATTAAAAGATTACTAAAATAAGTTTGGAAGCTTGGGATGAATAAGCATAACCTTTCACAAAATATTCCTTGATACTACTACTGGAAAGAGAAGGTAGACTGATTGTGATTGGGATCATAATAGCATGTTTTTTAGTGTATACCACTACTCTATTTCTATACTCCCATCCAAGAATGGAATATTAGAAGAGTCCCTGGATGTGTAAGTTTTGAAGTACTTGTAGAGACATATTTCACTGGTGTTAACTGACCCTGCATGAAAATAATATGAGACCAACACTAGCTAGTTTCATGTTAAGCCTACTGGCATGAAGTTGCTTCATTAAGGTTGAAAAGAGCAAATGTTTCTCATCTAATTAACCAGAAATGTATTTGTGATAACTATTTAGTACTTTAATCAAAACTTATATTACCAGGGGATTTTTTGCATATAATACTGTATTTGTATGTTAAAGGTACAGGATGATGATTAAAATAATACTTCTTTTAAAGCCACAAACACCCCCCCTTCCAAACACACATACACATTGACTTAGGCACATTTGACTTATTATTCTTTGACTTGAAACACTTCCTAGGTACCCCATTACTTTGAAAATGAAGTTTAAATTTTTTCACATTATTTTATAAGTACAAACAACTTTTTATTGCAACATGAAGTTATTCTTAAAGTCAGTTCAAATACATATTTTCAAATATTAATAATTTCTTAATTTAATTTTTATTTTTCCCATTACCATTTAGTCCCCTCATACCCACCTCCCCCCCAGCAACCACCACACTGTTGTCCATGTCCATGAGTCCTTTGTCCTTTTTGCTCAATCCCTCCATCCCCTCACCGCCCCCCATTCACTAGCTGTCATGTGCTTTCCATCTGTTGCGCGTGGGTCACCAGCCAGCAGTGACCACGGAATGCTGTGGATGGCTCGACGATAAACACGCGAGAAATAACAACATGCACAGAGACAAACTAGTTTCTGTGGGGAAGTAGGGACGAAATGGCCACCCCCCCTAGTGGGGGAGCGCGCTGATTTACCGTCCATACCTGCTTTTATTAGGCTCATTTTGCATAATAATTCAGGTAAAGTACAGTACTCATTAGGGGAAGTAAGGAACTATAGAAAACAAAGAACTCTACCGGTCTATTGAGTTGGGGGTCAAAGAGCTGTAAGACTGAGGAACAAAATAACTTCCTCCTAAGACCCTTCTCATTCAACTGAGAGCATTCTAAACAAAGAAGGTTTCACAGTAATTTACATGTTCTTTCTTAGGCCAGATCACCCAGGGAATCCGCACTTCTCAGTACCGAGCTGCACCACCCTGTCATTGTTTCAGGCTTAGGTGGAGCAAGGGAACTATGGCAACCAAGAGATAAGGAGATTTTCTTCCAGACGCTGAGAACTCAGGCTATGTCAAAGCCGAGGAAAGAGGGTCCATCACCCCCTTTTGCTGCAGCCCCCCAAGTCCTTCTTTTGGGGAGCCTCCCAAAGTGATCGTGCCTGGCTTAGGTCGTTCCCCCCGTGGGGAATCTTACCCGTCTTTGGCTAACCGACCAAGCTTTTTGGGGGTTCAGTCATGAATAAAGCAGCAGAAGCAGCATTCCTGCCAGGAAGATAAGCTTTTGTCTCCTTGCTGGCTTACGGTTCCAAGGGCGTTCCCTTAGCCTTAGCTAGGCGGGGGTTTCAGCCTCTGATACCAGTCAGGGCAGTTCCCAACATCCATCTATGAGTCTATCTCTGTTTTCCTTATTAGTTCAGTTTGTTCATTAGATTTCACGTATGAAGAAATCATATGGTATTTGTCTTTCTCTCGCCGGCTTATTTCACTTAGCATAATGTTCTCCAGGTCCATCCATGCTGTGGCAAAGGGTAAAAATTTTTCTTCTTTTTTATGGTCAAGTAGTATTCCATTGTATAAATGTCCCACAGTTGTTTTTTTGCCCTGCCTGGTGTGGCTCAGTGGATTGAGTGCCAGCCTGTGAACTGAAAGAACTCTTGTATTCCTGGCTGGTACCTTCTAGGAGATGGTGTTCGCAAGAGAAGTTTGTGGAAGGTAATCCTGTGGGAGTTCTCAGCCATGAAACTTCACAAGAATTCAAAGTACAGAGTAAACAATGCTTGTGATTTCTCATATTCTTAATACATAAAATGACCTGATCTGTACTCTCCAACCTCATCTCCTATCAGGTGTCCAGATACCTTTAAGTCCGACTGCACCAGACAACTAAGTGCCCTTGGAACATGCCCTGCTGTTTTATAGTACTATAATCTTTCATGCCCTATTTCCTTGATCTTGGACACCTGTCCCCCACCTCATCCGTTTGAAGACCTATTTTCTTCAAAACCCAGATGAAGTGTTTTTCCTTCCATGAAGCTTTCCCTGATCACCTTAAGTAGATTTAATGTTTCAAATGTTCTGAACAATTAAGTGTATAAATGAGTACATGAATATAAAATACCTACAGGTAACATGTATAAATTAGATCATTAGGCACTGAACATGGTACGTAGATGTACAAAGTATTTATATATTTCTAGTTTGATAAACATGTTTTCCTTTTAGTCTGGAGAAAAATGGAGGACCATCCATAATTCCTGTCTTTAAAAAAGGTAATTGATTTTTCTTTTATCTCTGAGATACATTCTAGCCCTGACACTCTGTTTTCTGTTTATAAAAATTCAAAATGTAGAGACTACCAGACGTTTACCTGTGAACTTTGGCTTTTGTAATTCTGTATAACTAAAGTGTCTTCCCATTTACAAACCAGTGTTAAATATTTCTTTTAAGGCCTTTCGTACTAACATCACTTGACAGAAATTCATCTCTTTCTTTGCTTTTTCTCACAAGCCACGCACAGTAATAAGTCATTACTGAAAAACATGTAAGTATGACTTAAATTATGACCTTGCTATTGTTTTGTTCCATGTACAACTTGTCTAATGAATTCTTAGGGAAGAGACCACATTTTTTTCCATTGATACTCTGTACGGTTTTCTACATAGTTGGCAGATGACGGCTGAGCAGTCTAGGCCTGCAAGATCAAAGTCCAGATCTTATACTGTTACCCATCAATGCCTATCAGACATATGATAGGAAAAACAAATTACTCACTGATTTCACATACATGCTTAGTGCTTGTTCACAGGTGTTTAATGTAGGACCAAATTCAGTCTTATTTGGCATATTGTCCTCAAGCCAAAAGCAAGCATGGAATCATTCAGAAGTCAGTTTGCTTTAGTTACAACTGGAAAGAGAGAAATTAGGGAGAGAGAACAAAAGAAGAAAAAAATTTCATTTTTCAGGGAGTATTTGAGGGAAGTTACATATGTATACATGGGAGGCTCTATTTCTGAATGTCCTGGGCATAAGAATGTCTATTTTTGTGTACAGCTTCTTTAGTTAGTCTTATTCTTCCTTCACTTTAATACTGATTTCTAAATAACAATCTGTACCAGTCTTGGTCTGAAGAAGTTTTCACAGGTTTGTGGAAGTAAGACAAAATAAAGACAAGGTAGCAAGTTTCTGCTAAAGTCTGTTACTTTGAAATAATGCCTTTCATACTTTTTTGGTGTTAAAATATCTTCTTTTACAAAATAATAATTAAAGTAATGAGCATTTTTTTCTTTTATAAAGTGCCAAATTGGCACAATAAAAAGTTGGCAACCATATGTTTTGTCCCCAAAGATTTCTGCACTCTGACATCTAAGAGTCTGGAAGCTACTGATCAATTCTCTTAGTATGCTTTACTGATGTAAAGAAAACAGAACTACGTGGAACTAAAGGTAGTAAGACTATACCTGGGTTCTTAGGCTTAAGAAAGAGACATTTAATTGTGGCTCTCTAATTTTTAGGGAAACAGCACAGAAGAAAATTAAAACCTAAAATTCAACCAAGAGACTCTTTGACTTTATTGCCTCCTGTAACTAACTTCATGGGACTATTCAAAGCAGCAAAAAAGACCACTGTTTCTCACAATATTTTTTCCTTTTCATCTGCAATTTCATCAGATATCATAAAAGTATCAAGACCAAGAATAGTATTTTTGAACGAACTTGGAAAACATGTACAGAAAGATGATTTGGAACCTACAGAAGGCTAATAAAAGCATTTTAGCATGAAAGGATTCCTGAGAAATCTTTTTAATTTTTAATTGTGGTAAAATACATATTACATAATTAAGTAATCTTTTTTTAATGGAAGTTCTTGATATTGATATTTAAGATTTAAGATACAGATTTCCCTTATTATTTAAGATACAGATTTCCCTTAGCATGTCTACTGGAATTAAACTCAGGCAGAGTTATAGTTTCAAAAAATAGGTATAATTTTCTGAAATAGAATGCCTGAAGTTAAAACTATTAAAATATAGGAACTGACACAAGTGGCATACTTAGTATTTGTATAAAGTGTTATAAATGGTTTTTAATTGGTATGCTGTGCTAAAGAGGCCTGATTCAAAGTAGCCCACATTAACACTCACTGAAATACCTTAAGATATTTATTTAATGATAAATTCCACAAATTCATGAGGCTTCTAAATGTATACTTTTAAGACATTTTATTTTTTAAAAAATCTGAACTCATTGACCATCATGTACCAAAGTATGGCTAAAAATGTGGCAAACAGCACTGACCACTCTCCATACTTATTGAGAACCTCTGGTTTACAGCTGGAAAGGGTGATATTCTCTGTGCTTAGAATTACATGGTGTCTCTGCCCAGAGAGAACTGTTTGCAGCAGGTAGTAGTTTTGTTGTATGTCTGCTTCTCCCATTTTACAGCAGCACATAGATGTGACACGAAAGCAAGTTGGGCTTCACTGTATCCTTTAAAGGCCCCTTTTTCTCTATCCACTTTGCTCAGTGTCTTCATATGTCTTCCTGGGCTGCACTGAACATATCTATTAATGAACAGTTATTTTCCCCAACATGCCTTAACACAACAGTAATGATGGTGATGACAGCAGCTACATGTACTTAGACTTTTCCATGTGCCAGAGTCCAAAGCCTGTGCTCTTAACCACTGCACAATACGAGACCTCTTTAATCCTCAAATACAATTCTATTTTCTCTTACTTGCTTTGAGTCACAGCTTTCTGGTGGATGGACTAAAATACAGGAATTGTGGTGGGGGAATGGCTTAATTTATACTAGAAAGGGATAAATAATTCAAATGATAAGAAACTATGTCATTTATTTAGTACCATTAAAAATAAGAATATCAAAGGAAATATTAAGCCTATGTAGACTTTTTTAAAAGCCTTTATTTTAGATAGCAAACTTTAGCTTTGCAACTATCTTCAGGTGAGCTAAAACTGTATTTTAGGAGTATTTCCAGTATAAGGATCAGCATTTCTTTGTTTTCAACAACATAGACATTACCTGAGTACCTTGGCCTAGACAGACCATCGTATTACTTCCAATACTTATTGTATTTCTCTGTAAATTACTGTCAAATACAGCCCCTTCCTCCCTGTACAGATTATTTTTATTACGTTGCATTTTCCTTTTGTTTTTTAAAATTATGTGTAAAATAAGAAAGTCCTCTAAATAGAAACTTTTCAGCAACTGCTTGTTTCATACCTGACTATAAGCTAAATTTGGTACATATCCTTGCCAATATAGAGCATGATGTTTCTCCTTTTCCTTTCCATCTTTCTTTCTTCTCTCCTTCTTTCCTATGGCTAAGTACTGAAAGGGCTCAAGATATGAATGCTTCCAGAATTTGCTCATTTTCTTTATCTATAGTTTCTCTTACTTAATCATGAACCCAAATTTGACATGTATGCTAGTAAATTTAACCATTTATATTATAGATATCTCTATTTTATAATTGTGATAGTGGGGAGAAATTTTGGTCAATTTAAACAACTTAGTTTATAGATATCCCTATTTTATAATATGTGATAGTGGTAAGAATTTTTGGTCAATTTTCTTCCATAGTTTATATGCACTCTGATTCTAATAGCCACAGCAAAGGACTCCACTTCTTCTCTTTGAATTAAGATCCACATTATACAGAACACAAATTCAAATACAAAATGTGAATTCACTAATTGTTTCTTTTAAATATCTGTAAACCAATTCCATCAAACCTATACCTCAACATCAATAAATGCAAAGCTTTATAAATTGGCTGTTTCTGTAAGTTCCTTCATATAAATTATGTTTTCTATTTCCAGTATAAATTGGATGATCATAAAATAACACTCTATGATCACAATTCTAAAGAAAATAACTTAAGGAATTTCTCATAAGATAGTCACCTGAAGGCAGGATTAAAATGAGAAATCTTTTCATTATAGATTTGTATCCTTTTCTCCTATTTCTTAATAAAGCAAGTCACTGACTAGAAAGTTAGCTTGTCCTGTGTGGATGACATTCTAAAAATCTCTACTGGTAAATCCTCTCAAAGGACATTATACAGTCTGTGGCATTGTCCGTAGAGTCAAACCTACTTTAATCCAGGCAGAAAAAAGTGATAAACTATTATGATATCTGCAGTACAAAGTTTCAGATTCTGGGAAATTATCTGAAAACAAAACCAAACCCTTTTTATCTCATCTATTTGCGTCAATTAAATAACATAATGAATATACTAAAATAATGAATATAAATATATGTGATCAACTAAAACGTGTAATACACAATGAGAAATTACTTGCATGTCACATTTCTTATTCTTAAAATCCCAGATGGGTTTTAAGAAATGTATAGACATTCCATTTGCTCCAGAGAACATACCTATATAACATATTTTTAAAATTTTTTATAATTAATAACATACATTCTGTTAAATGTCACCTTTTGCCTTGATTTAGAATTCTACAACTTGACACAACTTTGACCTGGCTCCTTTTCCAACACTGTTCTCTCAATGGAAAAGTCAGGCTAATTTTCAACAGAGCCAAAGAAATAGCTTCTACTACTCTGATAGGAAAAAGGAGAAGACAATCTCGGGCTGTATGACATGGGGCCAGAATTTAGCAGAGTCACTGTATTTCTTCCTACAGGTTTGTTTTTTCTATCTGCCAATAGTAGTACATCCTCTCCCCCAGAAGATGTTTTATTTTGGTTTTTGATTTAAAAATTTATATTCTCTTGTAAGACAATAACATATTATTGCAGGCTCTCAGAAGAGCAGGTTAAGCATCAAATATAAGAGGAGTAACAAAAGAAAGTGTTCATCAACATATTATATATCTTCTACAATCTGATAAACAAAAAAAATTAAAACTGCTGAAATACTACCTTCAGGGATTTTTGAAAAGCAAAAATCAAATCTTCATTTTCAATGGTGGTACTTTTATGGCAGCTTCTCCAACTTCTTTCGATATATCTACTCCTAGAGGACATCTGCATGATAATCAGACCAATCACATTATTTCAAATATTTGCTTCCTGATCTGGCACTAGTCTGCAGACTATTTGCTTAGAATTCTTAACAAACAATATGTGTATCTAATTTATAGTTAGTTGTGTGTAGTGATAATTCTTGAATACGTGTAAGTACAACAGGACCTCAAACCAGAAGAATGGATGAAGAAAGGCCAGTTTCACTAATAAGAAATCTAAATTTGGAGATTTTTTAAACTACTTTGAGGTATATTTGACATGTAAAAAGTTATACATATTTAATATACACAACTCAGTGTGACTTTGGGGATTGAGATGTTTCGAAAGAAATAATTCTGTGGCTCTCAAATACTGTAGATAAATAAAAACAAAATGAAGTAGGAAGATTTTTAAAAAGTCTTATAATTCTCTACAATGCTAAAAAGGCAAAAACAATTTACCATATAGCTAAAGTCAAAACTACATCCACTCCTACTTTAGAAATTCCCTAGATTTCCACTGATTCTTCTCTGAGGTTTCAAAATCTAGCTTCTTTTCCACCTTCCTTTGTCAATATAGGCAGGAGAGGTCTTAGATCCCACCCTCTTCCTTTGTTCTTCCTTAATAAGTAATTTTGGCTACAGATTTCTGCTTTTTCACTATGTTGCAGAACCTGGAAAAAGCCATTGTCTCCAGCCTCTACACTGCCCAAAGAAGGCACCGCTGGATCAGATGATATATTCTACCAAAGACCAGGACATTGACATAGGGGTTTCTTCTGCCACTACTAACTAAACTCAGTTCAGTTACAATCAGCCATAAGAGTCTGTGGTTCATGTAGCTACAGTGATGGACTACAATGCTAAAAAGTTGTAAAACATCAGATGAACCAATGTTTAAAACAGAATTATGTTAGATTATGAAACATAATCATCCTTCACTATTTTTACTATTCTTGAATTAACTTAGACCAGAACTTGATAACAAACTGAATAACTGTGCTATTCTTTGGAACTTTGATTAGGGAGTAAACTAAGACTTCCAGAAAACACCTGCCTTTGGCCATTACTCAGCTGCACACAGAAGGGTATATTCACAGCCCAGTCTCACACCCAAATGCTTTTTGCACATATTTCTTGTTTCCCAGCAAACTAGCTGGTTCTGAGGTGGTCCTGACACTGCAAAAGTCAGGCTGCAGACAGGGTTTCCATTCTGGTTCCAAGTAAAAAAAATCACTTTATAATTCTCGCCTTATAATGTTTCTAACTTAAGATTTGTCAAATATTTTATAACTTGAAATTGCAGCAAACATATTCCTTTAAGGTATCTATTTCCTAGGTTCACGAAATAAATTAATGTCACTAGATTAATGTTACTAGAATGTCAGTGAAAACCTCAAATATAAAGGCAACATTGAGGCTTTGACTCTTTTTTAATTAATTAATTTTTATTGTTATTCGAGCAGTTTCCCCCACTCCAGCCCAACACCCCAGCCCTCTCTACCTCTCTCCCCTGTTTCCACCCCCACCTTGTTATTGTCCAAGTGTCCTTCATAATTGTTCCTGCAAACCCTTCACCCCAGGCTTTGACTTTTATAATTCAACTTGCATAAAGATATGAATTGTACTACATACTTCGGTTCATAACGGATGCCTTCTGTGTCGTATAAAATGCCCAAGCCAGCACGCAATCTTTCAATACCATTCCTATATAAGAATCATGGAAACAAAATAGCCCAAAATTTAAAAGAAGAAGACTTACATGATGAAATGGCAATATTTACATAATTATGAGGGAAGCACATATACCTTGTGGCTTACCATGCAATCATAACACCATTGTCAGTGCACAGTCTGGGAGGAGGACACAGTAAAGTGCACTGTGTTGCATTTGTTACAATTTCCAGAGCTTTTCGGATATATAAGTTACTTGCAACTCCTCCAGATACAACCTGAAGTAATTGAGAAGACCAAAATTAACAACAATTACATATGGATATGAGCCAAGCTGTTAGCTATATTATACAATAAAAAGATCACATTTTGATAGATGGATAATGAGCAATTGATATATCTCTACAATAAAAATTTGGAGTATAAAAAAAACCACCAAAAATTATCAGCCTATAATCACTACTACCACTTTTTGTATATTTTCTTCTAACCTTTTTCTAATTATAATCATAGTACAATACTTTAGACCCTGAAGTTTTTACTTACAAGTATGTTTCCTTTTTATTACATAATCCTTAAAACACTGTCATTTTTGATATTCCATTTTATGAATATACCATCATTTAAATATTGTCTCACTTTATAATTTTTCAAAACAATTAAGTTTAAGATACAGTTAAATAAGAAGTTTATTTAAAGACTTTAAACACATTAAAAGAATTTCACCAAAGGAAAATAATTTTTAAGGAAATTAACCTATTTTTCTAAAAATAATGAAACCAGTTACTGCATTTTATTTCTTATTGTAAACCATCTTTTTAAATTTAGTGAGAAGATGTAGCTTGACACAGGCTATACATATCCCATAAAGCTGCCACACTTGTACAAGAAATGGATGTTAGCTTTATTCTGCATATTTCATATTGTCGGGTCTAGTGTATGGCATTAAAGACCTTTTCATCCAATGCACAGGGTCAATTAAGCTCTTGGAAGAAAAGTATCTTAAAGTGAAGTGTTACTATTCCATAATGAGATGAGAAAACTTACCAATACTGCATTACTTTCAGATAAAAAGTTTTTCTGCTTGCAAAATAGAATAGCACGGTGTGTTCTTTTTGCAATGTGGCAAGCTGTTGTGTACTGCACTGCAGCAGCAATGTCAGCTGCTGAAGACAGAAGTTGCCCCTTCTCAATACCTGCAGAACGAACAGGCATTTTTAGGCAAAACCCAGGATTATTTATCTGTCCAACTTTACTAATTATAAATGTACCTTCCTCTTTTTCCTTTTGCGTTATTGTCTTATCTACAACATGTTGAAGTCCAGAAAAAGAAAAATCACAATTTTTAGCACGTTGCATGGGAGGTTTGAAATCAAAATGCAGTTTATTTCCTTGTTTAGCCAAATGTTCTATAGCCTTTCCCCCACTCATGGTGGAGCATTCTGGATGTTTTATTAAAGAAAGTCTTCTTGCTACCTATCAAAAACAAACAAAAATTTTTGTAATGAGTTATAAAATTGCACATATTGAAACGAAGATGCAAAGGAAATGAAAAACACACAAAACCCTGGATGGATAAGACATACTCTACTTTTACTTCTGACAATTGGATCAATAATGGCTGATCACTGTCTCCTTATCTACTTTTGCTCTTCTACTGGGTATGGAAAATAGATTTGAAATTAGCAATGACCCCTTAATGCTGAACTTCAAAAGTGAGATGAGCTTTCACATCTCATTTATTCCAATCATTTCAACTGTTGGCAGCAGGATTTCTTTGTATGGCATTAGGCTCTGCAGGATTCTAAAGCAAAGGAAAAAGAAACCTGCTTGGTGATCGTGTCAGCAATTGTGATGTTTAACCTTAAAATTTTGTGTATCTTTAATATTCTTATGTTATCTTGGCTCACATTTCACATTTTATAGTACTTTACACTTCACAAAAATGCTTTTTGCACATACATTATCCTAGCTGATTAAAAACCTAACTGTATTTGCAAACTCTTTGAGCCCTTATATGTTGACGTAAATCTCTTACCATTTTATTTGGAACAGCTATTAAAGAATCTTTTGTAAACTAGATACTACTTTTTCTTGTCTTACTGCACATACATTTTTCAGTCTAATATAATATCATTCAGAAATATTTAGGTGAATGGTACTAATGCAGCTATTACTATTTAACTGACACTGACACCTTAAAAAAGAACAGAGAAATTAATTCTTAATTACCTTGTCAAGCATGTCACCCGGCGCTATGTCCAAAGACTTTCCAAGAAGCAGAAAATCTGAAACTCCTCTAACTAACGCCAACAGACAATGGCCTCCAGAAATCAAAAGAACTAAAAAAGGAAATTCTACTTTATTTGTCAACCTAATAGTAAGTGCATGAGCTTCCATATGATGAATGGGAATAAAGGGCTTTTTTAATTGATCAACCAGCTGTAAGCTAAATGATAAGCCCACTCCCAAGCTTAAAGCAAGTCCTGGTTTTATGGTAGTTGCAATTGCTGAGAGTTCACTTGGACTGATTTTACTGACAGAGAGAGCTTCTTGTACTATTCGTTGAATGTTTTCTCTGTGAAGCTGTTGAGCTACTGGAGGAATAATTCCACCTGTTCTGAAAGAGATTATTAAAAAGCTTTTTATAATTTTAAGATGGTAAAATAGGAAGAAAAATTATATATTATAGCTGAAGATATGTTTTTAATCATTACATAGCTAAAAATGTTAGTTAAGTCAAGTATTTTCAAATGTGTCATAATGAATGCAGCACACTATAAGAACTCAGGATGTAGTACTAGATTAAGGGTATAATGTTTATTTAAAATTGTGCACAAAAAACGCCTACAGATTTGTTTCTTGATGAAAGCAATTACCAAAATAATCTTGAGAGGCATTTTAAGGAAGAAATTTGAACACAGAAAGGACAGGATAAAATTGGATTTTAGGAAAATTAATGTCTCTGCAGTAGTAAGACTTTTAAAGACTTAAAATTATTGCAAAAGTGTAAGGTGATTACATCTTAATCTGGTGATTGTGAGAATGAAAAGAAAGGGAGAGGGAGCCTGGAAAACTGTAATAATTAATTGGATATAAGAGGAAAAGAAATGAAGGCATCAAAGATGATTCAGATGCTGAGCTGGAATGACTGGGAGTAAAGAAATACTAACAGAAACATGAAGAGTTTTGTAAAGAAAGATAAATTTATTTTTAAACACTCTGCACTGAAGTCACAGCAGGACAGTAGAACAGCTTGCAATTCTGAAATAAAGTTTGTGCTCAGAGTTGGTAATTTTGGTTTTTAGTCCATGTAGGACAGACAGTGGATAATCACTCCAAATGTCAAGAATAAACAATTAGGAAGTAAAGTCGCCAGCAAAAAAACTGCCAGCATGTGACAGAAAAGCAGAGCAATAAAATATAGGGTCTGTGACATGTACCTCAACTCTTGAAAAAAACTTCAAGCATTTGATATTGAAGATCTGCTAGTTCTCTACACAGAAGTTAAAATCCTCAGTAGGAGCATACAATAAACTATACAACTATGTATTTGTATACAAATATACAACTATATTTTCTTAATATATTTACTTAATATAGTTGTCCCTTGAACAATGCAGGGGTTAGAGGTGCCAGCCTCCATGCAGTCAAAAATCTATGCATAACTTTGATTCCCCCAAAACTTTACTACTAATATCTTACTACTGGCAGCCTTACTAATAACATGAACAGTTAATTAACACATATTTTGTATATGTATTAAATACTTAAAGTAAGCTAGTGAGAAGAAAGTGTTATTAAAAAATAATAAAACTATATTTGTAGTACTGTACAGTATTTGATACCATGAGTTTATGTCTGTTTACAAGACATCAATCATCTATCACCACCTACATCAGTAGTCTTATATGATACAAAACATTGCAGATTTATATATATTACTAAAACTAGACATCAAAAATGAAAATATACTATGAAAAAATTTCATTTATAGAGTACAATGATTTATGCACTGATAACAAAGCAGCAGCAATGTGATTGCTTTATGGTAGTCTAATATAATCGACATAATTGCATCACAGTAGCCTAGCCTATACAATAATGAATGGTTAAAATTTTTTATGGCATGTAGTACTATAACCATATTCATAATACAGTCCTCTCCATAGGGTACATGTGTAACGAGGCTTTAAGGTCCTAATGATCCACCCTCCACACACACCCCACCCTGGGTTAGAGGCTGAATTACAGATGTTGTGTTTGGAGGCAGAAAGTCCATTTTGATGCCTTTAGCATTCAACTCACAGCTTTCTGGGTGGTCAGGGACATTGTCTAATATCAAAAGAACTTTAAGAGACAGCCCCTTACTGGCAGTGTACTTCCTGACTTCAGGGACAAAGCATGGATGGAACCAATCCAGAAAAAGGGTCCTCATTATCCAGGCCTTCTTGTTGTCATATTACCAAAAGACTGGCAGCTAGTAGTTATCTTTTCCCTTCTAGGCTTAGGTATTAGCAGCTTTATAGGTAAGGTTAGTCCTGGTCATAAGTCCAACTGTATTTGCACAAAACAGTATAGAGTTAAGCCTATCCCCTTCTGCTTTAAATCCTGGTGCTCACTTCTCTTCCTTACTAATAAATATCCTTTGTGGCATTTTGTTTTTCCAGAATAGGGTACTTCTGTGTGCATTAAAAACCTGTTCAGGTAGATATACTTTCTCCTTAATGATTTTCTTAACATCTGGGAACTCATCTACTACCTCTTGGTCAACAGAAACTGCTTCACCTGCCATCCTAACATTTTTTAAGCCAAAACTTTTTCTAAAATTATCAAATCATCCAATGCTGGCATTAAATTCTTCAGCTTTAGATCCTTCACCTTCATTTTACTTTGTCATGTAATGACTTCACTTTTTCTATAGGTATGCCTTTCTTATAGCAATCCTGCACCCACATAAAAGCTGTACTTTTAATATGAGATAAAAAGGTACTTCCTAAGAAGTGCAAAATATTTACAACTGCTGACATAGTGGCAGCAACAGCCTCATGATTTATTTTTTTAGCAATGGCCCTTACATTGGATTCATTTACCTTAAAATGGCAGGCATATCTAGATATATATCAAGCAATCCAACTTTTTCCTGTAATGTCATAACTCTTCTCTGCTTGAAGCACTTCCAGCATCACTAGTGGCACTTCATGTGGGTCCCATGGTTATTCAAGGTTTATGGTACTGCACAAAACACAATGAAAACTACACAAAAATCCCCAGTAGATCACTTTCTGCTGTGATGCCCAATTTACCGGAGAGATGAACTGCTTATGTAGAGGTATTACAGACAAACGGCACTTCAAGCAGATACAACAGGTGAGCTTACTGCACTAGCAACAGGTGGTGGCTACAAAACTATTACAGTACTGCAGTATGTACTCCAGTTAATTTTATGCAGTTATGATTTAATATTTCATCTTTGTTGGTTTACATTTCTCCTAACTGCAAATGGCGCTGTGTATGGTCTAGAAATATATTAATAAGTTTTGATAAATTTTAAGTTTTTATAATAGATTTGTATATATTTTATGGTAGTAAATGATGGACTAGTATCTACATATATTTTATACATTCATGACATACGTTTCTCTTGTTTGTTCAAGATTTCTAAGTTATGTGGTACATTTGCAAGTTTTTTTCAAATTGTCACAAATATCCAAAAATATTTTCCAACATATTTACTAAAAAAAATCTTTGCATAAATGGACCTGCGCAGTTCAAACCCGTGTTGTTCAAGGGTCAACTGTATAACATATCTTAGAGATCAGGTTAAGCTTCTTGAAGGCAAGGACTTTCTAGTACTTCACTATGCCTTACTAACACCTGCTAGTCCCTATCACATATTATGTAACCATTCGAGGCCTATTCTGCCTCTTCACCTATATTCTTTCTAATTATAATATTCTATATTATTTCTATTATATTTCCCACAGTCCTATATGGTAGGCATCCTTCCCACTTTATGGATGTAAAACAGAATCAGAGAGGATGAAGCACTTGCCTAAAGGCAGACAATACCAAATGCCTAATTCATAATTAAAATACAGTTTTGTGATATGAAAATACCAACCTTTTTCACTATTCATCCATTTTAAATTGAGGGCTTCAAGGCATTTTTAATTTGTACAGTGCTTCAACATATTTTGAATTAGCTAATTTTAAAAATCTGGAGATATTACAGTAACATTCTGAATTTCCATTTTTTCTTGAAAATTCTGATGACCAAATAATATAGGGTCTATATACCTGCATGACAATAATTGGCTGGATCTAAGTACTGACTTCCCTCCAGGTATTTTCCACTTTGTATCCAGCCCACTTATTTCTGTAACTTGCCTGCTGGTGCTCTGGAAACATCTTAGTTTATAAAACTTGCACCATTCTGTGCTTCAACACAATAATATTCTTACAGTACCAACATGAGTTATGTATATAAATGTGAATAGGATTTTTTGTTTTCAGTGATTAACACAGACTAGAAGTCAGGCTTTCCTAAGACTGCAGTTGACAACATGATACATACAGGTGAACAAAAGAGGAAGGGCATTACTGAGGGGAAGTCATGGATAAATACTGGAGCTGGGAATGAGCTTAGTTTCTTTTTGTCAACAGGATTAGTTAAGGTTTGAACTTTATTGTCGAGAGCCTTAAAAGCCAGGGCTGAGAGGGTTTAAAAAGTTATTAGGAGCTTTTGTACAAAAGGAGAAATTAGCTCCTAAAATTCAACTTTTATATATGATAAATACAAAAGAATTATTTTACTTTTTCCCAAAAAAGTGAATACCACCAAGATAATGTCTACTTACTTCAAATGAACTTCAGTTTGGGAATGTATTGCTTCTCCCCAAACATTTCCAGTTTCATCCACCACAGCAGCTGCTGTATCATCACAACTGGTTTCAATTCCCAATACTAGTTTATGAAGAAATACTTTTCCAGGATGAAAATTAAAACTTCTTAAATATTCATAAATTTTCCTTTTTGATGGTTTAAAGAAAACTCCTGCTGTCTTATTCAATATTAGCATACTTACTCTATAGATAATTCCTGGAAAAGAATTAAAGAAACAAACTAAATATTATTTGGAAATGATATGGGCCACTAGCACATTTAGTTAAGCAAAATTTTGAAAGCTTGGTTTATATGTCAATTTAGAGTTTTATAAAATTATAGGAAAGTTTTGTAAAAGTCAGCAAAAGTCTTTAAAGGTTGTAACAACTTGTTATATAATTATATAATTTATATAAAGAACAGTATGAATGAATACAATGGTCTTCAAGAGGGAAAACAGGAAAGTGAGATATAAATTTTTTACATTCCTATTATTTTCATGCTCTTCTTACGAAACAACTCATTATTCTTTATTAAAAAGCTAATATTACAGTACAATAGATGATGGAATAGTCCTTTGGAAAGTGCTATTTATTTTTTGACAGCTAAAATGATAGCAAAATGGAACAGCAAAAATAAATGCATTCCATTTCCAGGAAACATTCTTCAAAATAAAATTTAATCATTTCACTGGAAAACAGAGTACACACAAAACACACTCAAAATAAGGTTTAGTGGTCTAGTTTAGAAACAAGTGTTCTCATACAGCTCATCTTAAATGAACCACATGTCGACTAAAACGACTGCAACTTCCTACCTATTTTATCCATTAATTACAAGTTTTCTAATTAAATCTACCTTTTTGCCACAACTTTATCACAACAAAGATCTTCTCAAATCCTATTTTTTCCAAAGTAATAGCAGTCCATCATTAAAGGCCCCCGGTACTTCCACACTGCCAAGTATCTAGTTTCATGCTCCCAAATCACTTGTTCTAAAACTCTCTAGGTGTTTACTAAGTGGGCTTTTTCCCTACAGCACTACTGACAGCATGGAAAAAAGAGGGAATGAATATTGAAACCTTTATTGTTCCACTGGGGCAGAGGGCATCCAGGGGCTGGATATGATCGACCACAGAGAACAGCTAGGGGAGTGCTGCTCAGGCAGACACACCCTGAGAAACTGGATGTGCAATCCCTAAATCCAGGTAGGGCACCTCGTGCCAAGTAAAGTACTTCTCTTCTGGGTCAAGAAGGCTCCCATGTGAACCCAGAGATTTGGCCAGCGATATCTGCTGTAAGAAGGCGAGGGACTAGGTCTCGAACCGCTTTCCCAAGCGGGGGAAAAGCCGGCGGGGGGGCGGGGTGAGCTTTCACCCACCTGTCTGGTGAACAACAGTAGCTAGTTCTCCTCTCGTTCCGTGCAACGACGGGTGGAGAGCCCTTTCTCAGGCGTTAGAAAGCTCGACCTTGGCGCTCCGGAAGTGATGTCATCAGTACGGTGTCGCGTCCTGTAGTCAGGCCAGCTGTGATTAGCCTAGAGGACGTCACTCTTAACTCAGCGTCAATATAAGCGTAAAGCTGGTCTTTGCTGAAGTCACTGTGCCTGAGCTCCTGCATTTTCTCCCGGGCTTCTAGGTAGCAAGACTTCTCTGTAAGGTCAGAGGCCTAGTGAGTGATCTACCGGAGGCTGAACACGGATTGGTCTAACAGCATACCGTTAAGTTCTGAACACTGTGCTGCATTAGAAGAAAAAAAAATTATTTGGCTGGAATTCGGACGCCCCTATGAGAAAATGATTGGTAGATTGTTCATCATTCTATCTTGGAGGAACGCTCACCAAACTGAACGGTGTGGCTTGAAATATCTAATATTTTAAGAGAGAGTGGAAACTCGAGGCTGCCGCAAGGACTTGTACGGGGTTCCTAGACAACCGACGCGTTTCCGGTCGGAAAGTAGTAAACCGTTACTCCCACTTCATTTGAAGTAAAAGATGTGGGGCTGGTTCGTTTTTGTGATGAAGAATAAGGGGAATTGTGGTGAATATTTACTTACAAAAAAATTAATATCCTATCTCCGCATTACATTATATGGTCTTTGCCTACTGTGTACGCAACTTCAGCATAGTATGTCTTCATATTCTTGCACCTTTCATTTTTTTTTTGCTTTGATTGGTATGTAAGCTTATTACATTTGTTTGAATAGATTTATCCCGAGGCTTTCTTCTTCCCTGCTAAGCTTTAAGGTTTTACTAAGCAAGGACCTTATAAACCCAAGGTTGATACAGCTGGTACATATACTTGTGCCTTGCAGTGTGTAGTTCTTGGTTAAAAAAAAAAAAAAAGATGAATAAATCACAATCGGGAAGTCACAGATGTAGTCTAGTGGTAGATACAGATATGTAAATTACCAATTACCAGGATGTTTGGAAAGTTATAACTCATGTTTTCCAATATTTTCATTTATCTGTGGCAATAATAACCACAATTAACAATAAAGTGTCACTATGTGCCAGACACTGTTGTGGATTAATTTATTTAACCCTCCGATGAGGTAGTTACTGTCTTCATTTTACACAAGGCAACTGGTTCATAGAATTTGGGTGATGTTCAGGTCATACAGTTAGTAAATGCAGAGCTAGGATTAGAAGTCAGGCCATCTGCCTCTGGAGTCTGTTTTCGTAATTGGTAGAAGATAAAGTAACTCCTATTTTCCCTATGCTGTATTGTTGACCCAAAGAGGAAAAAAAAAATTAAGACCTAAAGGTTAAAAAGTTAGTCATCCTATCTGATTGGGTATAATAAGCCAGAAGCTGTTTTCTATTATGCACTGGAATCTAGCCTGAACACAGAATCTTTCACATCTGGCACTGTTTTTCTTACAATTTGAATTATGTTGAGCAGGTGTGGCCTAATGCTCGCCTGTGTTGTCAAGAGTTATCCTTGCTGTGTGTGCTAATCTCATTGGTAGATTCCTCTTCTGGGCACCTTTGGCTGATGTTGAGTCTGAGTGTTACATTATGTGAAACAGCAGAACTCTAGGACACATTAGGAAGGAATTTTATTGTTCCTTTGATTGCATGTTAATAGAAAGAAATGCCATTTGGCAAGTGAAGGTGTACATCTTCCATCTTCTTTACTGAACTAGAGAAGTTATTGGGGGAAAGGGTACTCTCTGAGACAGGTCTTGGCTTTCATCAGACCAAATCATGTGGTTTGAGTGGCACTCATGGGCATTCTCAATGAAATATGGCCTCACCACTGTAACTTCAGCTTGAATTAAGAGTTCCAAATAAATCTAAATATGCATATTTTGCCTCTGCTATTGTCTAACTTTCCATTTGTAAACTTTAGAGGAAATTTACAGAAGAATCTTTACAATACTTGTTCTCTAATTATATCTCATGAAATTGGATTTCATCATATATGTATTGGATTCTTTCCTTTAGGCTAGGAACTTTATTAGTTGTTAGGGATAAAATATCCATTCTCTATCTTCAATTAACCAAGGCTAGTAACAGGTAATGGCAATACAGCATTATGGAAAGTGTGCATTGAGAAAGTTGCTTGGGGATGGTGGTATAGCTTGCCTAGCAGGACCTTGGTGTGATTGCTGGGTTTCAACATCTGATTCTTTTCTAGGCTTGAAATTGGTTTATCAGTAGTGTCTGGACTGTGGAATACTTAGTCACACATTCAATTTGCTAATAAACTATGTAAAAACCATTATACTAATGTATTAATTTATGAGAAACGCAACGACGGAGTTAATAATAGTTGAACTTGCTGGTCCTCACACTTTTTCTGCACTGACCAAATTTCAATGGAAGCAATAGAGATAAATGAGTTTGGTGCTTTTAATGGCTAGTTTTCAGGCTGAGGCACCCCTTCCCACTTGAGTCACATACTTCTGTTACCTTCATCACAGGTTGGATTGTGCTAAAAATACCCTGTCATTTGCCTATCTCCTCTTTAAGTTTCTTTGCTAACAAATATCTCTTTTGATATGAAACATTCTTTCATTAATGGTAACACTGTCAATCAGGTCTCACCTTTGGAAGGTATTTTCCTTTTAATTTTGTTTGCTAAGCCATTATGCTTATTTTATAAATTTACCTAGATGATTTTAACTATTTTTAGGTGTATAGTTCAATGGTATTAAGTACATTTATATTGTGCAACCATCACTACCATATTACCATCTTCGAAACTTTTTCTTCTTCCCTAACTATGTATCCATTAAACACTAATTCCCCATTTCCCTCCCCTGCCCCCACCTAAGGCAACCACCATTCTGTCTGTCTTTATGACTTAGACCACGGTAGTTATTTCAGGTAAGCGGGATCACACAGTATGTGTCCTTTTGTGACTGGCTTATTTCACTTAGCAGTGACATCAAGGTTCATCCAATGTTGTAGTATGTGTCAAAATTTCCTTCCCTTTAAAGGTGAATAACTTTCTGTTGTGTTTATATACCTCATTTGTTTATTCATTCATCCTTCTATAGACCCCTGGGTTGCTTCCACCTTCTAACTACTGTGAATAATGCTATAAACATGGGTTGTGCAAGTATCTTTTTAAATCCCTGCTTTCACTTGTGGGTATATACCCAGAAGTGGAATTGCTCGATCATGGGGTCATTCTGTTTAATTTTCTGAGGAATTGACATACTCAGATGATCTTATTTTTCAAGTGTGTAGGGTCCACATGTCTTTGGCACAGGAGGGAGCGGGTGAATCTCTTTGTTACTCTCATATACTTCCTATGGTTCTTAGGTGCCAGGATAGAAGCATATAGTTAGATAATTCATTGAAGGGGCAAATGTTTCAAAGCAGGATTACTGTGTGAGGTGTTCATGCAGTGGTGGTATACTGGTATCTTCTTGGGCAATAGCTAATAAACCATCTGGCTTCTCTGTTCCCATTTTAAAAAATTATAAAATGAAGAAAGTAATGCATGCCTATCTTTCTGATAATATATAGTCAACATAAATACATAATTTTTGTAAAACCTGGAGGCTTTTCAAAATGTGTTGTTGATAAAAATTTATAGCTATATAATTATATAATTGGAAAGTCAGAAAATGTATATATTATAAAATTCCTCTTATTTTATATTTTAAAATGAGTTCATTCTACAGTGTTAATGTTTCTTTACACTCATTCTTGTATTTGAGAAGAATGTATCTTTTACAGCTTAATTATGCAGTTAGAGTAAAAGGACACAGTGATAAACTCAGCTTATCTGCTAAACTTAAAATTATATAAATCTTTAGAGTTACAGTTGAATCACTTCCACAACTATTAGCTGCTTATCATGAGCTTGAATGAACCAATAAATGGAATAAATTACACAGCTATGCTAAACATAAAATTCAAATATTTTTACTAAACTATTTTTAAAATATGAACTATTCTAGAATATGAATAAGTATTAAGAATAAAATAATCAACTGTGAATCCAACAAGAGCTTAAACATAACTAAATACAGTTGAATTATGTGCTGTATACCCAAGATATTCAGTATTCTAAATTTGATGTTTATATTCTCGCGTGTTCATTTGTAGATAAATGAGAGAAATTTAAATGCCACATAGCAAACTATCTGTTGAGTCATTTTTTAACTCAAACTGAGACTAGAGAGTAAAATAAAAATCAGATACATCTCACTACTTTGCTTTTGACAACAAAATAAAAGGGAGTTAATCTTTGCTATAGTCTTGCCTACCTCCCTTCCCTGCCTGATGCTACTTCAAACTTCCTTTTAGATATTTTACCTAGAGCAGTCTTCCCAGCACTGAACATGTTTACATGTATCACATCAACATGTAATACCCATGTAATTGTTTCAGGACCCCTCATCTGTCCTGTTAGAAAGATTATTAAATTGCATTGGTGTATATAGGGTCGCTGCATTAATCTTCTTCAAATTAGCATGACAGTATTTGGGGTCATATTTACTGATGACATATATTAACAGAGGGGACATAATGTAGGAGAAATATATTGCATGACAATCAAGACCTAGACAAGATGAATCAATGGGCTAAAATCTAACAAGATGAGGTTCTATAGTTAAAAAACCTTAGACTTGGGTTTAATAACTCCATTAAATAAATACATGAAAGGAAAACCATCATTTAACAGCACTACATGTTGAAGACTTGAGGTTTTAGTGACTATAAAGCGAATCAGTGAAAGTGGCTTTCAAAATAGCTAAAATGATATTAGACTGCATTTTTAAAAAGTATGGATGGACCTGGAGAACACAACACTAAGTGATATAAACCAGTCAGAGAAAGACAAATACCATATAATTTCATCCATATGTGAAATCTAATGAACAAACTGAACTAACAAGCAAAATAGAGACTCATAAAGAACAAGATGACAGTTAAGGGGAGGTTAGGAGGTGGAAGGATTGAGCAAAAAGGAAAAGGGACACATGGATTCAGTGTGGCGACTGCTGGGGAAGGGGAATAAGGAGACTAAATGGTAATGGAAAAAATACAATAAAAATTTTTACAAAAACAAGGAGTGGTACTATTGTAGCAACATCACATCTTACCTCTTCTTATAGTTAGCTCTAGTGCTTAGTAATGAATTTACAGCAGAATTACCAGGATGGTGGGAAAAATTTGAAACCATGTAATATGGAAAATGGTGAAGGCTCAGCTAATGTTTATTCAGTGCTATTGTTAAGCACTTAAAAGTCAAATAGTTGAGTTATATAGAATATATAGTTATATATAAAATAAGGATTAGATTATTGTTCAGTGTAAACATTGTTGTAAATTCCATTACAAATAGCCTTGTAAGTTGTAAGTCCCACTTTAGCAGCACTAACCCAGAACTGAATGGTGGCATGGTAGGGGATTGAATTACATAGCCTCTAACCTCTTTTTAAACTCGTAGCAGCATACAGCTCCATAAAGCTAAGTAACACAGATATTAGTTAAGGAGATATTGTTATGCCCCTCCGGATCTTCACAGTATAATAGATAATAGTGCCACAAACCTAAAAAATACAGTTCGATGTTTAAAGAAAGGAAGAAGAATGGGTGGGTCAAAAGGACACAGGAGCCAACTTGGAAAGTTCTTTTGGGAACTTTGGCTCCCAAGGCCAAAGCTGGAAGACAGTTTGAGGGAACAAATTAATAATGATAACAGATTATAAACCAAAGAATAAAATATCTATGAATCTGCAATAATATAATAAATTAAATAAAAAGGAAAAATCTTCTTACAGAAGAATTCCAATAAATAAATGTAGAAGGATCAGGAAAATAGAAAGCTGGTATTGGAACTTCACATTAACAATTGCTACAGGAATGATTCACCAATGAATGCTAAAATTAGTGGCATTTCTGAGCTCATGCCTATTTAGAAATTGTCCTTGTAGCTCCTGACTTTAAATTAGGAGCAATTATAGCATAACAGTTATTTGGGACAATGATTTTGTTCCAAATAATAGTCATTATAGACTGTCAAAGGTTTTTTTTACATTAAACTGTACCAACTTATGAATTTGAAAACAGTTTCCATATTTAACACAATCATTCACCTAGGTGTTAAGACCCAAAAACTAGGGGTTATGTAGTTTCCTCCCTGCATCATGAATTCAATACATCAGTGTCTTTTGAGCTGTACTTGCAAAATACAGCCCAAATCTGACTACTATTCACCACTTTATCAGCTATTTCCCTAGTCTGAACTATTATTGTACATTCTGCCTGTAGCAGTGTCCCAACTATTCTTCCTGCTTAATCCTTTACAGTTTATCCTCAACATTAGCCCTAACCTTAAAAAAAAATCAGATCCCTATAATCTGTGCAAAACTCTCCAATGGCTTTGTCAAGCTAGCATAAAATTTGCTCATTACCTTGGTCTATTAAAGCCCTGTATGATCTGACTCCTTCCTAATTCTCTGACGTCATTTGCTACCATTCTCATCCTCCTTATTACTCCTTTCTAGCTCCAATGATGGTCTTGTTTATTCTCAAGCATACCACCTTCATTATACTAGGAGGCCTCTTTTCCCACATCTATGTCCATCAGTAATGTCACCTTAGTTAGGATCTATAAGGAAATACTTTCTGAAGCAGACTCCCCTGCCTTTCACTAGCTTAATCCTCCCCCACCCCCACGGCATTTATTACTGCATGAAGTGATGTGTATTTACTTACTCATTTATTATCTATTCTCCAACTTGAATGTAAATAAAGGAAAGAGATTGTTTTTTCTTATTTATACACTGTACCTATTATACCTAAACCAAAGTGGGCTCTCAAATATCTACTGAATAATATTTTTAAAATGTGGAAGGGCAAAAGTACGAAAAGTAGCAGAAGGTCTAGGCTAGAGCCAGATTTCTATCTCTGAAGTATGTGTAAAAAATGTAAGCCCTCTGAGATAACTTTAAAGTGAAAACAAAGGAGTATTTTTAACTACCTTAATTTTTCACAAATTCTGTTGCTTAAAAAAAAAACTCTTGAAAAATAAAAGTGCAACATTGATGACCAAATTTGGAAAGACTTTGCAATAATCCTACACCAAAAGAAATTTTATTGAAGTATAGATTACTGGTTATTTAAAAATACATGGGAAAAGACAAAAATACACAGAAATTATCATACAACTGATTTCTAAAGTCAATACTCTTGAAATACAAAACAATGATCATTACCCACAAAAGCCAGTTTATTGTTTTAATAAACTGGTCTATAACTCTTTTCACTCAATCTGGTTTACAAATGTTACTGGGTTTTTTCAGTTTTACCCCCAAGATCAGAATTTTGGTTTTTGGATGTATTTACTTTTCGAAATTGTATATATATTTATTTCTTGTAATTAACTGCAGCAACTACAGGAAGTTTCTCTAAGTCACAAGAATTCAGTATGGTTGTCGCTTTGGAAATAGTTGGATTATCTACACAAAGACTCACGTATTGAAAGTCAAAATGCTATTGGATGAAGTATGAAGATTGAGAGCAGGAAGGCTAAGAAAAGATGCTGTTATCTTTTACTGCAGGTCTGCTAAAAATGCCTCCATTATTTACTTTGATACTATTGCTAGAGAAGCAGTTGCTGCCAGACCACAGGTTGGCTATATAGTTGTCCATTTTATATTTACTTTTCTAAAGAATGGTAGACTTTAATAATTAGATTGCTCAATCAAAAAAGCAGAGACTTTTAAATTACCGTATACTTTAACTGTGTGAAATAAATTATTTTCTGAAATGGTTAGCAGCCTTGTCTGCAAAGGCAGTAAAACCCACTTTGTTTCAAAATTAGAAGGCTGACTCAGAGGCTGTTTGTAAGATGCCTAGTTATCTTCTATCATCAAGCAGTCATGAAAGTGGACCTTCATAAACTCAGTAACTTTATAAATGTAAAAATGATCTTATCCATCAACACACAATGTTGAATCAACAAAACAAAAAAAAGTACACTCATAAGGTAGAAATTGGTTTGTATAAAACAAGAGGGTACCTATATCCTCTTATATAACACAAGAGGAATACATATGTAATAAAAGTGATCTACAATAAACTTGTAAAGAGATGATTTTGATTTACATATAAGTCAGCTTAAACTAACATGACTGAGTGATTGGAAAGTTTCTTCTCCTAACATAATGCCCATTCATTATAAGCTAAGCTGGTCTTAATTTCTTATAAATCTCCTATTTTCTTGGATTTATCTACTTCACCCTCATTTTATAGCCATTTAACTTATAAGCTGGGCCTTCCCAGTCTGCCTATAAAGACTCTCATCAGAATTATACCAGATGCATTAAACACAGGCATCCTCTAGTAAAAATCTGCACTTCAAAACAGCTTATGAAGAACCAGCAATAGGCTCTCCACTGTAAATACCTCTCATTTCAAACCATCATAGAAACAGTGCAGTTTACTAACCACTCCTTCATTACAGGCAACTCAGTAGCTGTAAAAGTTTTTCTTCAGTTTCAAAACCTTTCAATACTTGTTAATTCCAAAGATCCGAACACCATGTAGCTGTGGCATTTTGGGGATTAGCACACTCAGGAGAGAAGCTGTGTTTAGGATGAAGTGAGTTGGATCATACTTCGTATAGAAACTTGCCAGAAAATATCTGTAGAAATATAAGTATTAAGAGTATTGTAACATCTAAAAACAAAACTAGGATTTTTAAAAATTTTAAAAGTAGAAAAAAAGGCCATTGAAACATAAATACCTAAAGGTAGAAACATTTTTGAACACTAAAACAAAAGGAAACACTTAGTTTAAGGACCTAACTTAATTTTATTTAGAATTTAAGTATTTTTTAATGGAGCCATATATGCACACTTTGCACTTCTGCAATTATGTTAAATGCATTTAAAAGAATATGTTTGCTACTTAGCATCCTTTAGAGCAGGCTTTCAAACTAGGATTCATATGCTCCCTGAAATCTCAGGTATAGTTTTGTATTTAAGTGTATGTTTTTGAAGAAAAGATCCAAGATCAAAAGGATATATCATATTCTTTTGACGGTTTTGTGATCCACCAAAAGATTAAGAAATGTAAAGCTGTAGAAAATGGGGTTAGTGCACTAGTACAATTAGTATCTTTGAAAGAAAACAAATACTTAATCACCGTTTTAATGGTCTCATTTGCATTTTGTTGACAAACAGGTCTATAACCAGTTTAACTGGAAACTTGAAAGACACTGTTGTAAAATTCCAGTTGTTTTGCTATAACTGAACATACATACATACTCAAAGACACTCAACATCTGAGAATTTGTTTTAACAAGCCTGAGCTATCTCTAAGACCATAAATCATTGAGTCAGAATGTCTAGTTTTACCCAAGGTGTACATCAAAGTACAGACACATCATCTGGCCCCAATATAGATAGAATTTTAAAAAAACTAAAACATTATAACTAAGAAGTTAAGTTTGTATATGGTTGTTTGTCTAATTTGCATGTTTACAGTACACAGGAAAGTATTCTTACAGCTTTTCTGCTAAGTACCATCATTAGGTTCTCATAAGGGGAAGTAAGTGTTTAGATATAGTTAAAAAACAAAAGTTATTTTCAAGACTCATGAAAAATATCAGCCCTGGCTGGTGTAGCTCAATGGACTGAGTGTGGGCTGAGAACCAAAGGATCACCAGTTCAATTCCCAGTCAGGGCACATGCTTGGGTTAAGGGCCAGGTCCAGGTAACCACACATTGATATTTCTCTCCCTCTCTTTCTCCCTTCCTTCCCCTCTCTCTAAAAGTAAATAAATAAAATCTTTAAAAATAAAAAAAATAAATAAATCAGAGAGCTGTATACAAAACCATCTAAACTGAGAAATTCTATAATCTTCCACTTACTTCACTAATGATATAGTCAGAAAATTCTTTCTTGAGAATAATCCACATTCCTTAATCTTTACTCTAAACCCTTTCTTCCTGCTTTCATATACTTCAATGAACAAAATTGGATACCACTTGTATTTAGTAAGCTTATTTAATTTCCCATCATTATCATGGATTTACTCTATAATCTGATATGTTGAAAACAACATTCTCAGAATGGCTTCTCCTTATCATACAGTAGCATATATTCCCTTTATGTCTTCTAATGAAAACTGTGTGTGTAGATTATATGAAAACTACTTGACTCTTAAAAACACTGGACAAGCTTCTAAGAAGATGCAAAACTAAGTGGGAATCAGTATAATAGTGTTCATCTGCCAAAGGGTATACTGGAAAGAGACTGTAGTAGAAGCTAGAAGTAGTTTACAGATTCGTTGGGGCTATTGACTCCAAATAGCTGCAAGGTCTGGAGCAAAAATGCACCTGAGACTGTTTCTTTATCTAAAAATCTGGGATAACATTATACATCCCACCTACCTACAAATAATGATCAAATAGGAGAATGTGAAAGCACTCTGAAAAGTATCAATGCTATATGGTTTTAATGCTGTTTCTTCAGTTATGTAAGGAATTTAATCAAAGAGTACTTGAAATCATCATACCTATGGGTCAAAATATATTTTTAGAAATATGGATTAAAGAATTAAATGTTAGATTCAAAACCATAAAAATCCTAGAAGAAACCACAGGCAGTAAAATCTCAGACATTTCTCGTAGCAATATTTTTTCTGATATATCTCCTTGGGCAAGGGAAACAAAAGACAAACAATTGGAACTACATTGAACTAAAAAGTTGTTGCACAGGAAACAATCAACAAAATAAAAAGACAGCCCAATAAATGGGAGAACATATTTCCAATGATGTATCTCATAAAGGGTTAATATCAAAAATTTATAAAGAACTTACTAAAACTCAATACAAAGAAAGCAAACAATCCAATTAAAAAGTGGACAAAGAACCTAAATAGACATTTCTCCAAAGAGGACACACAGATGGACAACAGACATATGAAAAGATACTCAAAGTCACAAATCAACAGAGAAATACAAATTAAAACCACAATGAGATATTACCTCACCTGTCAGAATGGCTATCATGAATAAAACAACAAACAAGTGTTGGCAAGTATGTGGAGAAAAGGGAACATACTGTTGGCAGGAATGCAGATTGGCACAGCCTCTCTGGAAAGCAGTATGAAATTACCTCAGACAATTAAAAATGGAACTGCTTTATGATCTAGTGATTCCACTTCAAGGAATATATACAATGAAACCCAAGACACTAATTCCAAAGAATATATGCACTCCCTATGATCTTTAGCATTATTTACAATAGCCAAGATTTGGAAGTAGTCCAAATGCCCATTAGCAGATGAGTGGATTAAAAAGCTGTGGTACATATAAACAATAGACTACTACTCTGCCATAAAAAAGGGAATTCCTACCCTTTGTGACAGCATGTGTGGACCTAGAGAGTGTTATGCTAAGTGAAATAAACCAGTAAAAGAAAGACAAGTACCATATGATTTCACTCATATGTGGAATCTAATGAACAAAGTAAACTAACAAAAAAAAATAAATTCAAAGATAGAGAACAGACTGACAGCTGTCAGAGGGGAGAGGGGTTGTGGGGCTGGGTAAAAACGGTAAGGGGAGAGCAATGGGGAAAAAGGCGGGACAACTGTAACAGAAAAGGAAGGAAGGAAGGAAAGGAAGGAAGGAAGGAAGGAAGGCAGGAGGGAAGGAAGGAAGGAAGGAAGGAAGGATTGGCTAATGAAACAGATTTTTAGGTTGTATTTGAGATCTTGCTCCCTGGTTTATGCAAAAAAAAGGTAAAGGGATAAGCAAAAAATAAAAAAACAAGAAACAAAAACAACAACAACAAAAAACCCTCATAGATGCAGACAACAGCATGGTAATTACCAGAGAGGAAAGGGGCTGGGGGAAGTAGAACAATGTGTAGGGGAGATAAATGGTGATGGAAAGAGACTTGACTTTAGGTGGTGAACACACAATACAATAGATGATGTTTCTAGAATTGTATATCTGAAACCTAAATAATTTTATTAACCAATATCACCCCAATAAATTTAATAAAAAATAAAAAGATAGAAATATCGATGTTGTACACAGGTACATCTCAGTTGACCACTTTTGTAATAGCACTTACTGAAAATTCATCATATCAGGCTTTTATACATGTATTATAATTAAATCCTCAACATTTTAGAAATGAGGAAACTGAGGCTTTCAAGAAAATGGTCGAGTGACATAGCTAGAAAGCAGTATAGCTAATATCCAAAATTAAAGCCATTTGAATAACCATTATTCTTGTTACTGTATTTCACTTTGTTAGACTGTACAAATCATTTTTCTCTGACAATTGTTTTAATTGTATAAAAAATTAAAATTTAAAAACTTCCTCAAAGTACTATAAATATACAAAAAACAAACCTACCACTTTATGATGAGTTTCTTCTTTTCATTTGAAAATGCCTTCCCTTACTTGAACATCTATCCAAAACCTAACCTCCATTAAATTTCAGTTTAAGGAATTCTAACACCCCCAAGAAGTCTTTCCAGCTACTGTACACTACATTGACTCTATTCATTTATGTATAAGCTATGTGGTATACAGACTTTGATTAAAATATATGTGAAACATATATTATGTGTAAGCAAATGTACTAAGTGTGAAATTCAAAGCAATCTATGTACTGACAAATTCTTTGCAGAAATAAAACATTAACAAACAAATAATATAAAGTCCATAAACAAGAAATATATAACAACTGCTATGGAAATTCAAAGCAGAGCATTATCACTAAATGTTGGGTGCTCAGGAAAAGACCTCACTGAAGATCTAGAATTCAAATCTTGAAAGAACACTATGACATAAATTAAGAAAGGAGGAGTCATTTCAGGTAAGAGAAGTGATTTGAACAAAGGCATAGAAATAGAACTACACACAAAGTATTCGAGAAATGCTGCTTAGAAGAGCTTGACACAGTGGGAGTTTGGTGGGGCTTAAAATATGAACATTACAAAATAAGGTAGGATTCATTTTGTGGAGGGCCCTGAATATCAGATAATTGAAAATTAGATGCCAGACACAAGGTTAAATGCTTTACATATAAATGTTGTATCATTTATTTCTTATAGCATCAGAATGAGGTAGGTGTCAGGGGCTAGATTTTTATTTATGAGCATATCAAACTGGCTAAGTGGTAGAGGATTCAAGCCAGATCTGACCTATAAATAATAAAAGGGTAACTTTTCTTTTCCCTTAACTAGCAAGAAGAATTTTTAAAACATGCAATACTTGACTATGTAGTCAAGAGTACTGACCTCTTTTCTCTTAGAATGTCAAATAAAAAATGACACCAGCCAAAACAACAATAGCTGCCTGGTGTGAATGAATCAAAATTATACTTTTTTTTTGTTAAATCAGCAAAAAAAATATTTTTTTTTTGCCACAGAATTTGAGTAATTAGTTTATGTGTGCCATAAGATGAAAAAGGTTGAAAATTGCTGCTGTAAACTATTCTTTCCCTCCAAAGCAGTTTGAATATCCAAATGGGGCAGGTAGTCAATGAAATTTGTCTGAATACATCCAAATCCTTGTTTAGAGAGATTAATCTGATAGTGAAATATAAAAGGTTCCTTGTTTAGTTTTCTTGTAAGCAATTTCCAACGATGAACCGAAATGTATTTGATCTATATATCCTAGATCAGTCTAGGCATACTGATGGGCATGTAATGTTGTCTCCATATGTTACTGGCTAGAGTGAAAACCCATTTATCAACAGCTTGTTAAAGATTTTGCCTGTAGTCTGTACTCTATCTGTAGCTATTTATTGACAGAGGTTTTTAACAAACTATTATTTCTAATTCAAATTCAATTTAATAAAACACTAGCTTCCTCTCATCCAATCCTCCTCATAACTACAAATTTCCACTACTTACAAAATTATTGGAGAAATTGTGAAAAACTTCCGTGAGGATGTAAACTGCACTCCATAGTCTAGTTGTTCCCAATGAGTTAGGAGCCTTGCTTTTCCCTGGTCAGGAGTCTCAAAAGGTGTTCCTTTTACAGCATGCAAAAACACATACATCCCCTGAAAAACAAATAAGGGAATATATAATTAACATCTAATACAAAATTGGTATCTATCAATAGGCATGAAGATAGTTCCAGACTATTTGTAACTAAAGGTATATGATTTAACTTACAGGTCAAGTTTTAAGCTTTCATATACTTTTAAAAAGCTGTGGGCAGTTTCTTCACAGTAAAATAAAATTTCCAGGGGTATATAAGTGTTATTTGTTGAAAACCAGTAAAAGGTCAACCAAAAATAACCTGCTTTCACCTTTTATTAAATTGAAAATAAAGAAAAAATAACATCAGAGTAACCTTATATTACCACATTAGATTTTTTAGCACCTTTCCTATTAGGATATAGGGTTGCCTTGCCCCAAATGTGCAGGATAGTTTCGAATGTCATATTAGTAAATCTGATATTTATAAAATTATTTTAAAAACACAAATTGGTAAATAAGCAAATAAAATCTCTATCAGGAAATGGTTCTGAAAATATTTAATATTAGGACTGTCTTTGTCTCAATACTTTTCTTCCAAAGCAACAAAGATGGTTTGATGTAATAGGCATAATGTTCAACTCAATTTGCTTTTACAGTCACTACTGTGCCTCAACAGTGTTTCCATTGTAGTTTTTAAAAACTAAAAAAAAGTTTACCAGAAGTCAATCTGTTCAGTGGTATCTTTAAACATCTTGTTTTGTAGTTAACTAGGAAAAAAAACAATGTATACTAGATTTGGTTTCCTTGAGATTATGATATGATACCCATTTAAATTGATAAGTAGTGCTTCATCACAGGATCACTGCCTGAGGAACTGGTAACAACAATAAAGCCTACATATTATCATGAAACAGTATTTCCCACTAGAAATCATGATGTGATGTCATTTTTTTTTCTACTACCACTTTTAACAAATATATGGGGGAAAATGAGAAAAATTAGTGATTTGAAATTTCATATTATTTGTAAAGGTTAAGAGAACTCTTACTTTAAAAGCTTAGTCTACTTCGTTATTCCATTAGGCAATTCAGAAGTTGTTTTAGCTTCAATAACAGCTAAGCTATATAGAAATGGACTAACATTCAATTGGGTTTAACTCAACATACATTTAATAAGTTGTTCAAATGTACAGGACACAGGACATGCATGCATATATGAAATTGAACAAAAACACAGAGCCTTAAAAATGTTCAATCCTCTGGCAAAGAAAAAAAAAGACACATAAACAGTTAGAATGTAGGGCAGATTTGCTATGAAAATTAAAATCAAGGTACTCGGGAAATGCAGAGGAGGAATAGGTTCCTTGTTGCTGAGGCAGAAGCTTGGTGCTACCTTGTCAACTATCTCATTCTTGAAGGTTCAACTCAAATGACAACTGTTTAGTGATGCCTTCCTCCCTAGTAATACCTCCTAACTGCATGGTTGAATTTTATTGGTAATACTTTTACCATAGCACTATACATATATTGTACTGGAGTAGTTTATGTTTGTTTTCCCATTAGCCTGAATACCTCAGGAACAAGGGCTGGTATACAGCAAGTATTAGATATTAAGACAAGATAACATAAGCCAAGGAATGTCTATTCCATAAGCACAAAGAAAACATTTTCACATGGGCTTCAAAGGAAACTATAAACAGAAACTATATGCTTTCAAATTCCCAAGAGTGTGTGGCCAAAAAAGCTAAGGCTATATTCTAGACTTAGAATTATAATGTGTTAGAATTTCAAAGAGAACAATCCTCTTGTTATTTCTTTCAAACCACATGGACTCACAGTATTCAGAATATATATAATGTTCTGTTTATTTTATATATCCTTCTCAATGAGAAAGAATAAAACCTTATCTGACCATATATATTCTACTCCATTATTTTTATTTTTAATAGTTTTTCTATGAAATTTTAGCGATGATGATTTACAGCCACATCAAAAGAATTAGGAAAAAAGTATGTAGCTCATAGTTAGCCCTTGACAAATATTTACTGATTCAAAATGAAAAGAATTCTCATTCATTTTAAAAGGTAGGTAAAACACTCAGCAGAGTATTAATGCGTCTAAGGTGAATTGTAGCACCAAAGAAAAACATTCACTACAGGTTTCTACTTACTGTATGGTTTTAGAAAGGTAGAGACTGTATTTTTTTTCTAACCAGAAATAACAATTAGGTCTACTTTCCCATATTTAAAAAGCATTTGGCATGTATTTCACATTTTTAATTGGTTTAATGTAGGCTGTCTTCAAAAGAAATTTAAATTTGGAGCCATATAATTGCTACAGCTATGTCTGGTTAGTTAGCTTTTTAGTGTGGTGAAGTCAGCAGTTTGCTTCCCTACATGTTGTCTATTTCCTACCCTTTGTCCATTACCATATATTGTGTCTCAATTTCAGTCAACCAAACTGAAAACATGAGGAGGTGAAATGAGTTCTAAAGTATACTTAATAAATATGTCATTGGAGGACTAATTTATTCAACAAAAATTTAAATGGGTATTTGGAGATATAACAATTAAAAACAAAAGAGATCAACTACTAATTATAAAACTATCATAAATATATGATATAAGAATACAGTATATGAGTTTTCTGGCATCTTGAATAAGGTGATACTTGAATAGAGTTTTCTTGAACAAATAGAAATTAGTCAGGTAGAGCAGGATGAAGGGAATATTAAAATAGGGGAGCCTAAGTACAAGAAAGAGATGAGGGCAAGATGATTTTCAATATTTTAAGAACATAGCTTATATTTGGAGATGGGCTGAGATAACATTAAGTCCCTTTCTTGCCTCTTACACAGTTACAAACTGGTCTTGTATTCCACACAAGGAACTTAGCATTTTACTATGAATGTAACAGGGAATCACTGAAGAATTTAAACAGTGTGACTTGAGCAGACATGCATTTTAAAACTATCACTCTAACAAGCTAGAATGGAAGAGAGTAGAGGAGCACCAAGGAGACCATTTATCTATTGCAGCAATTTTCAAACTTTTTCATCTCATGTCACATATAAACTAATTACTAAAATTCTTCAGCCCACCAAAACATTTATTATATTTTTTGATCTGACAAAAAATAGGTACAATTTTGATTCTTTCACACCACAGCTATTGTTGTGTTGGCTGTTGTCATTTTTTTTTAATTTGACAATCTAAGGGAAAAGAGGTCAATGCCCCTGACTAAATAGTCGGGTATAGCATGTTTTAATAATTCTTGCAGCACACTGGTTGAAAATTGCCAAACTACTGGAGGAACTGACAGAAAAATAAATGCATGAATTACAGCAATGCCAGTGGGGATCAAATTGAGAAACAGTAAAGCAGAACAGACAGGGATTTGCCTAAATGAATAAGAAAATATAGAAAAAGGAGTTACCCTAAGGCTAGGGTGACCATATCTATTAGTTTGCATAGACAACCCTGATTTACACCTATTCTGTTGGAGTAGTTATTACTAGAGATCCCTTTTACTCTAATACAGTCTCAGTTTGGATGCTACACTGTATTAATCACTTTTCCTTTGACATTCAGCTATCTGGCTTGGTTTACTGGGCACAAAGTGGTGCCTTTAAATTAGATTAGGAACAAAGTCAGAGGAACAGATTGTGGGTAGAAAGGAGTGGGTTCAATTTACACTTGTTTGGTTTAATTGCAAGGTGATCTAGTAATATTAATATGGGCATCATTCTTCTACAGGTAGAAACTGAAAATATGGAATAACTTAGAATATATAGAAGAAGAGATGAAGAAAAGAACCTTAGGAAAAGAGGAGGCAGGAAGTGTAAAAGGAAACCGAAAAGATCAGAAATATATATAGGAAAAAGCAATAACATGGAAACCAAAGGAAAAGAATTCCAATAAAAGGATCTGATTAATGACAAATATTTCAGAGAAATTATCATTTAAAAACAGTGTTTGCCCTATCAAAGTCTATTACTGAAAATGGACTAAGTGCACATTCGCGTATTTCTACCACATCACCCTTGTCCTCCTACAGTCAACTTTAAATGCTCTCCAGAAGAAATAAAATAAATATTAATTAAGAAATCTATTTCTCTTACATTTTTCTGTCTTAATTCTAAGTTCTTAACTTTTTAGATATCTTTAAACAAATATGTAGTTAATCTGGATTCAATTAAAAGTCTCAATTAACTGGATTTCTCTTCTTTTATTCCAATGTAATAAGCTGTTAAAGACAAGAAAAGTCACTATCAGGTTTATTTTTTCAACATACAATTCCCAAGGCTGAATAATATGGTCAGTAGAGTTGCTCAAACTTCTGGTACTTTGTAAAGTTATCATATAATACAAAAGAGTGATAACCAACAGGAAGAGGCTAAGGTACCATAAGATGCTGAATCATATAAAATATGATTAAGCTCAAAATTTCTATACAGAAGTAGGAAAGTATACTTATACAATTTATTAACCAAAAAAAGTAACTACTTCTTCTGAAGTATTCTGGTTTATCAATATAATGTAGTTGGTTAATTAGTGTCAACATATTTGCTAAAATGACCTACTGTTTTCTAGATTCTATAAAACCAGTAGAAGGAAAAAAAAGTCTTACTTAGAAAAAGGGCCCAATGTTTAAATACAAAGTGTCACAGAAAAATACAATCCCATTCTAGACTTAAATTCTTCAAAATTGTCATATATATTAAAAATCACTGAACTGAATATTTTCAATGGGTGAATGTTATATTATGTAAATTATACCTCATAAAACTGCTAAAAAGTCACGTTTTCCTTCTTTATAAGAAAACTTTTAAGCTTTTTAAAAAATTGTGTTTAAATACACTTAAATGTACCATATTAACCATTTGTACATGTACAGTTGAGTAGCATAAAGTACATTAGCATTGTTATGCAACCATCACCACCATTCATTTCCAGAACTCTTTGCATCTTACAAAATTGAAACTGTACTCTTAAACAAAAACGCCCCATCCATTCCTCCCCCAGTCCCTAACAATTAAACCTTAAGTTTTCAAGTGTTTTGTATAAGGTGAAATTCTTACCAGATTATGTATAACATTTGTTAAGGTCCAAGCAACAGGAACACTGAAGAAGGGAATACTGAGTAAGACAATATGAAGCAAGCCAACTCCCAGTGCATATGTCAGCCACATACCCCGGCTGTTCATTACCCGGGTATTTGGATTCACCTCGCTGTGGGCAACTCCAACATTCATGTTTGCTCTGTAGGAAAGCAATGAAATGAATAAACCCTGACATAACGAGAAACATATACTCCTAATTCTGACATGATGAAATAAGTGTGTTAACTAGGATTATTTTTCCTAGTTCTGAAATAGAACAAACACACCCTCCAAAATATGCTACTTGCAGATGCTGATAAAGGCAGTAAAGAATTCTTAACATCTGATTTTACAATAAGACAAACGACTTATTTTATGGTTCTCAATGAAAAAAACAGTTAAAATCTCTTTCCTAAAATTTGTCTTCTGGCATGTTGGATTTACCAAATGAAGTAATGGGCAGGAATACTCAAACTGAAAGAGAAAACCTGTATTTTCTTATATAAGGAGAGCAAAGTGAAAACTCAAGAGCTAAATTTATCAACAGAATAAACTAACATAAACAAAGTAGAGCTGACCCAGCCAGTCTGTTTTAAGTAGCCAGACTCATAGCTAATGTAATGTTCTATCCACAAGGAGTAGTCAGAGTTCAAATCACTCCTTTTGAATACTGAAACTGGAAGGAACACAAGATGCTGAAAAATTTACATTTTTTTCTCAGTCTCCTGATAAAATTAAGTCAAAACAATAGCCTTTCTTCTGAATATTTTAACTCTAATCAACTCAGTTTTTTTCTTATCTTTTTTTAGGTTCTCCTTTTCCCCTTTTGCGTTCAAGATGAACAACAACAAACGAAGAACTGGTAATACTTCCCAGTTATCTTAATGATGATGCTTGCTTGGGTCTAAGAATACCTTAAGCAAAATAAAACTGTCCTGAAGAATAACCCATCCATCCCGGCAAAACACTGACCAGTGAGATTTGAGGGGGGAAAGAGAGTAAATTATATTTAGAACAGATCTGATTTTAAAATATATAAACCCTTTCTATTATAGAGTTGGCACTGAGAGAGGAATTTCTCATAACCCCATCCAACAAGTGTTTTCGGAATACATGTCCCCTTCCCTTTCCAAAAAATATCTATAGAACTCAAGGCATCAAGGCTCACAGTGACGACAGTTGGCTACATTAAAACGAAGCTAAAATCTCAAATTTATATTCGTAAATATTTTTATCTAAATACCACCATATAGCATACACTATTTTTATATAGTAAATTATACTCAGAACATACAATCACTTGAGATTACCTTTCCCACTTTCCATATGGGGGGGAAATGCTCCAAAGAGCTGGAAGGCAAAGGTGGTGTGGTACTGACCCTACCCCCCAGTTCACAAAACCTTTCCGAGGAGTCTCCCGCGACACCCTTAAACAATGATTTCAGACAGAGAAAAGTCTCTTGGCTCAGACCCTAACGGTTCCTTGCGGATGACAAGGAGGGGGTCCCTTGCCTGCCAGCTAGCCACCAGCAGCCTTCCCTGACTGTCGGAGCTCCCCAGATCACGGAATTTAGCAAAAGCCCCTGCTGCTACCCCTGCAGCACCTAACCCACTGCCCCTCCCTTCCCGGAGCCGCACATCCGTCAGTGCCGAGGCACGACGACAAACATTTGGGGTGCAAGCCTCAGGGGCCGCTTGGCCAGCACCGCCAGACAGGGCGCTCGGGGGCAGCCGGAGTCCATTCTTCTCCCTTAGGCCAACTCCAGTCAGCCACCAGATCGCTGCCGCTGCAGGCAGCAGTATGTCCCCGCAGCCGTTCGCACCCACTCACCCACCGCCCCCAATCCCGGCTGCCGACTCAGAGGAAGACCAGCTCGGTAGTCACGGCGTCTCTTCAAGACCGAATGCCAGTGGTCGGCTTGAAACGCAGCTTGGCTTAGTTTGCGGAAGCCTTCGGAGCCGAAAGCGCTGTCAGTGGATTGGCTGCTTGCAGTGCCAATCCCACGTTCCCCGAGCGGGGCGGGACTAAATTCAGTGCGCCGGTGCCCGTTCTGCTGCGCGCGCGCTGAGGAGCAATCCGGCGTCCGCGGAGCCGGGCTTGGGCTGCGGGCGGGACGCTGGCTGGTCAGCTAGTGGATGATAATTACCCACCTCGCGCGAGCAAGAAGGTAGTGTCTTGTGGCTAAGGGGCATTCATTCGTTTGTTCTCATAGGCTCGGGGGCCCCCTTCCAACTTCTCCTAGTCTGTAACAGAGCGCCAATGGCCTCTGTGGGCGCCCCTCCCCCCCACCACGGGGCGGGAAGCAGGAGTAGCTGGACCCGCGGCGCGCACACTCGGAGAGCGGTCTCTGAGCCAGTCAGTCAGCTTTCACTGACTAAATGGTGTCTAGGCTTCTGTTGCAGCCAGTTACTCAGATCCTGCTGGGCTCAAGACTTAATGTTGTTTGCTAGGCATAAACTCCAACCCGTGACAGCCATAACGTGTCTTGTGTGTGGTGTTTTATAATACTGTATGTTGTGACACACAAACGGTGCAAGCAAACTCTTTTCAGTTAATGATTTTTATTGGTGTCTTTCTGGGGTTCTCCATACGCTGAAGTTATGCATCTGTATTACGGTACATGCTGAGCAAATGTGGGTACCAAAAATTGATTTTATTTGAGAATGGAGAGGAAAAATAAGATTATTTGGAGTCATATATGAAATCGGATTACATACTTGGAAGTGCACAGTTTGTCAATTGTATTGTTGAAATACCTTTCAAAGTTTCAAAATTGGTGTAAGAGAATGTTGACTATATGTATATATCTTGCATTTCTGTTGGACCTGTGAAACAGTTATTTAAATTATTTCATTGTGTTCTGTGATTTCTGCTGCTTTTTTAGGTACAGTGTTGTCCTTAATCACTTTCCTGGTCATCAGCACTCTTTCAGTAGTGTTTTGATTTCCATCTCAGCAACTATGGAACACTGATTCTTGACATCCATGTCAAGCCATCCTGCATTCTTGACAGCATGCAGGGGTGTCCAAACTTGGCGTCTCTGGGCCACATTGGAAGAAGAACAGTTGTCTTGGGCCACACATTAAATACATTGCAACACGTAATCACAAAAATAATCTCATAATGTTTTAAGTAAATTTATAGTTTTGTGTTGGGCCACATTCATAGCCATCCTGGGGTGCATGCAGTGTGCGGGGCTGCAGGTTGGACACCCCTGCATGCTGTAACTTTTAAGTCTGATATCAATCCTTCAACTTTTCCAAATATGCAATTTGTTGCACATACAGTAGAAGGCTGGCTGTGTTCCAGAAGTTATGCTAGGGATATAAGATTAATGTAAAATCTCTGTCCTCAAAGAACTCTGAACCAGAAGGAAGGGATAGAAGAATAATAGTTAGAATAACCTATGGTAAGTTTTGGGTTAGAAATAAGGAAAAGGTGCTGTAGGAATGCAGAGGAAAAGATGCTTAATCTGTTGGGGGTGCAGGTGGAGGGCCATGAAAAAGTCTTCCTTGAGAAGGAAGAGAACCTTGTGAGCTAAGGAGCAATGAGTACTACCACATTAAGAGAGAGACATTGTATAGTATGACTTTCCTACTGCACATTTGGAGAATAGCGGTGGAGATTAGAAAGAGGTCTGTTTGTTAAGGACTTTAGACTTTGTCTTATTAGTAGTTGAAAATCTTTATAAAATTTTAAGTAGTGTAGCAACATGATAAAACTTACAGACAGAACCCTATAGGTGGTTGAGATTTGAGGCAAAATATCTATTAGGAGGTTATTGCAAAGTATAGGGGGAAATGTTGAGCTGATCAGAGGAGGTAGCTGTAGGTATAGAAAGGAGAGAACTAGTTGAGAAATATTTAGGTAGTAAAGATAGGTAAAATTTGGTGGCAGGATGTAGAGAGTAAGGAGAATTTGTAGAATGACTTTAAGGTTTCTAATTTTGCCTTGTGAGACAAAATGAGCATGGCGTTTGGAGTCAAACATACCATAGTGTGCAGGTGTCTTAAACAAGTTATTAAGCTTTTAAATTCCATTTGTGATAGAGAAATGATAATATACGTAGGGGTGTTATAAGGACTAAATAGGATTATATATACAGGGAGGGACCCCCAAAACCAGAATTTATTTATAAAGAATTGTGTACTCATTCTGTCATGTTTAAACTTCAGTCACCTTCAAAGTACTGTCCATATGATGCAGTATACCTACTGAGATGTTTTTTCCACTGTTCAAAACAGTTTTTGAACTTGTCGGTTTCAATACCTTTTAGTATGCTTCCGCTGATTTTTGTTTTACCTCTTCCAGATCAGCAAGACTTTGAAGACTTTTTTCATCCAGGAAAACAAAAAGTAGTTTCTCTGGGTGAGATAGGGCAAATAGGGAGGATGGGACTCTGGGCAGGGGTGGGGGCTCATGCTGTTTTTTATCAAAAACTGCTGAACACTTTGTGTGGTGCGGCAGGAATGCTTATAAACCACCCACAATGCAACAGGCAAGCATGTTGAAAGAGTCTTCAAAAAAAATTTAGTGAAACCTAATGCAGCCTCTCACAACAAGACCAGTTGGTACACTGATGCAGGTGGGTTCCTAGAACACTCACTTAGTGAGGGAAGCCTGTACTTCACTCTAGAGGATAATTTTGGTTTTCTTCTGGGTCCCTCCTCGTATAAAGTTGCTTATGTTAGCTATAAATTTTATCAAAAAGAAATATAGGACACAGGTTAATTAGAAAAAAATTCTGAGACCAGTTTGAGACATGTTAAATTTATTATGCCTCCAAGTCATCTAAATAATGATATTTTGAAGGTACTTGGAAATCAGGCCCTGTCCTGGAGTTTAGAAAAAAGCCTGGTTAGGTGATACAGTTGAGGGATGATATGGAGGCCAGTTAGAATAGAATGAATACTTGATGTGGACACTGGCCTGCAGTGTCTGCAGCATTATGGATGAGACAGAATAAATTCACAGGGACTACCAAGTCCTGTGGAGGAAAAGGGATGGCATGACTTCTCTCTCAAGGGGAGAGCAAGCCTCCAAGTGCCTCGGCCACCCTCTCAAGAGGAGAGTGCCCCCGCTCCTGCCTTGAGAGGCTTTTATTGGATTCAATTTGCATAGGAATAAAAGGTGTATATGTAAAGCTCATTAATCATTATCAGGCAGTAAGGATCAAACAACAGATAACATACAAAGAACTCTGAGGGCCTATTTTGAGTCAGGGTCAGGTAGCTAAATGGCCATAAAACTTTGGGGAACAAACTCACTTCCTGCGTGGACCCTTATTTAATTGAGAGTGTTCTAAACAAAGCAGGTTTCACAGGATTTTACATATTCTTTCTTAGGCCTAATCGCCCAGGGAACCCACCCTTTTCCATACAGGGCTGCACCTACCACCAGCATAGTTTCAGGCTCAAGTCAAGCAGGGGAAGTAAGGCAGCCAAGAGTTTAAGGACTCAGGCTATGTCAAAGCCAAGGGGTGAGGGTCCATCACCCCTTTTCTGTAGCCCCCAGGTCCTTCCCTGGGGGCCCTTGTGATTGTGCCTGTCTTAGGTCATCCCTCCCTTGAGGAATCTTACGCATCATTGGCTAACCCATCAAGCATTGGGGGCCAGGCAGGGTGAAGTAAAAGGAGTAGAGGCGGTACCCTTGCCAGGGAGATAAGCTTTGTCTCCTTAGTGGCTTATGGTCCAATGGTCACTCACTCAGCCTTAGCCATGGAAAGGGTTACAGCTCCCAAAACCAGGCTGGGCAGTTCCCAACAAATATGTAAAGGGAAGGAGTTAAGACAGTGGTGACTTGCTGGGAAGGAAGACAGTCTTCCTAATGTTTACACTGGCATCAGGAAGGTGCTGATAAAATTTTTTATGACCCTTCATTAGTATTAATGAAGTGCTTGCCATGAGTGAAAAACTGTGATGATTCTGTGTTGCATCCAGGACTCCGCATTCAAAAGTTGTATAGGTTAGGGCAGGGGTGTGAGAAACATCTAGTGAGTGATGCAAGCCAAGTTTTTGAGGAATGTAGTGGAAGGGAAGGGTCATTACTGGTTGGGTGATCAAAAGGACCATGTTATGGATGTTCCTGGAACTGGTTCTATAGTAATAACAGGATTACATTAGGAGGAAATGGAGGTGCAAATAGGGTGGGACTGCTGGCAAAGAAAGAATGAGATTTTTTGACCTTGGTCACTAAGATCAGTGTATTATTAAGAGAAATAACAAAATTTAGTGGAAAGCATGGGGAGGGGAGCAGGAAGATAAATCCTCTTTTAGAAATACTTATTTTGAAGTGGCAGTGACACTGATAGAAATGCCTGTCTTAACTTGGGAAGAGAGATTTCTTTTGGTGATACAGATTTAGGTATCTGTAACTGAGGCTTTGAGTTTTAAGATGTCAAGAGAAGAGAGGGATTGGGGTATGCCCATATTTCTGGGAGGAGAGTGAGGAAAACATGAAGAGATCAAAGAGGTATAGATGGAAACATCCTTCAGAATTTGGGAGCATCATCAATGTTGTGCTTTGGAAAGTCATTGGAAACTTGAAGAGAATCCCGACAGTGGTTGTAGTATAAGCCATTTTGCAAGAGTTTTAGAAAGGACTTGGTGATAGGGAATACAGGTTACTTATTCAAATTTTGGCTTCAGAAAGGAAGGGAGAGTGGTAATTATTGGAATAAAAGTATTGAGGAAAGCATTTTTGTTTTTTTATTTTATTGATTGTGCTATTATAGTTGTCCCAATTTTTCCCTTTTTATCCCCCTCCACTCTGCACCCCTCCACTCCTTCAGGCAATCCCCACACCATTGTTCATGTC